CCGACCTTCCGATCAGTAGGTGACCTGCTCTACCTCCTGTCTACAGCCACCCTAGTGAAGGGTTTAAAAATAGTGCAAAGAAAGCAAACCTGTGACTTGTTACCCTTTTTGGCTTCTTTCTAAAATTAAACACTTTTCGATTAATTGTTTCATTAGCACACAGTCTTCAAGAGCCCACAGGAAACCACCTGCCCGTGTTTGTACCAGTATAGCAGCTGCTCCTGCATGAAACTTCCCACCTGGACTTGGCTCATTGAGTCTCAGTATCTCACACACACAGACATCGACACACAAACACACACAGTGACGTCCTGTTTTGATGCTGCGCAGGGGTGGAAAACAGTGAAGTAGTCTAAACGGACCTGGTGTGTTTGTTTTATTATCTTGGAGAAAACTGGAAAAAAATCAGCTGAGGAACAAAGAGCCTGAAAATCGGGGCCCTTGTTTACCTGTGTACACACACACACACACACACACACACACACACACACACAGAGTTAAATCAATGACTAAATGACTGAATCAGTGTACAGAGCTTGACAGAAATATAATTACCCCCTTTGCAGAAACACAGACCTCAACAACTGTGATTGGTCAGTTTGATAGTAATATGCAGCAGCAGCAGCAGTGATTAGATCACAGCTTGTACCTTTCTGAAACAAAGTAATTATAGGCTTGCTTGCTCATTATGCTATGCAACAGCTAGTATTTCGTCAATGTATCCATGCATTTGTCAGGTTTTCCTATCACTGTGTACACACTGAAGTCTTCTCTCCTTCATATGTTCCACTAAAAATAACCATTTTTTAAGATTTATTAGCGTGCAGCTCAGTTTCCCTTCTGTGGGTGCAGACGCCAGTGAGTACGTTAAATACTGGGAACCCCTCATAAGTATGGCAATGCAGCTACCCATCACGCTCCCAGCAGACACACTTACTATGTTGGTTTGTTCTCAGGTTATTGCATTCACAACAGTTTCAGAAAACGTACTCTGACCTTGAGGTCGAGGTCACTGAGATTCAAACTCATCCAAGGTTTTGAATAGATGCACCTATGAGCCTTTCATTCATAAAGTTCAGCAATGCAACGGTAAGAAAGCCAATAAAAGAATACTGAACCTGACCAGACATCTGTTACCACATCTGCTCATTTTAACGCCTTTGTATGTTAATAAAATATAACGAGCATTTAAGGCGAGGATGACGGGAGGAAAGAGATTCAATCTGGAGCGCCACATCGGAGCGCTGGATCCATGTCCAAGAGGATTTAATAAATTTCCACTGCCTAACGAGGGCACTCAGAGTTTTGTACTGTATGAATCAACCTGGCGTGTTGCTGGATTCTGAGTGTGAGTGATGAACAGTTTGTTTACTCCTGGCAGTTCTGACAGAGAGACGGGAGATAAATATGAATTGCAGGACGAGAGCACTTCTTAACAGGTGACTCATCGTGGTTCCTGCCAAATCCTCCATTATTATTCTGGCATGAGAGACTCAAAATAACATTTTCACCATAGTTGTCATAACTTGGCCTTCTGACTCTGACCTCATAGTTATGCCACTTGCAGAATCTCATTTTAAGCCGGTTATAAATCTGACTTATAAATCGGAGCAAGCGTAAAGTCACAATCTAGGACATTCCTCTATCAGCAGGTTTGACAACACAGCTTGTAACACTGACATCATCTCATAAACTTTACGACAAACCAGATTTTAGATCGGACAGAGTATTTAGGGACAGCCCGCCAGACTTCTAAACCATTTGACTAACGTAGTAAAGGCCTGTTACCACATGTGGAGCCCTTTCCACTGTAAAAACTCTTCAAAAACTTCCATTTGAATTTCTGTATCCTGGTGCTTTCAAAAGGACCCCTGCTGGTTTGACTGATTGTTTTATTCCCAGTGAAAAACGCTTCTTTTCCCTTCTCCACAAAGATTTTTCTTGTATTTGTTTTTTAAATCGTTTTCTGAATCTTCGCTGTGAAGTGACAACAATTATTTATGAACTGTGTTATTTCTTTTCAGTTCACCTGCTGTTTCTTGTGTATCTCATTGGACTGTCAATCAGCGGGTTTAGTCTTCAGATTTCAGTGTTTTTGAATTTGTCTTTTCTTCATAGTTGGAGAAAAGACAAATGACAGATTAGTACCAAGCTTTGCTGAATGGCAAAAACATGCTTCTAGAAACAAATCTATTAACGTGAACCTTTAAATCGAGGTATAGTTAAGAGCTGGGTAGCCGGTCTGATTGGTTCAGCTGAGGTAAAGTCCAATACACCCTTAATAAATACCAGATATGCAACAAGTGCTCGAGGTTCAAGTTTCAAGTCCAGATGACAATATGAAAATAATAAACTAGCAACACTACTTGGAAACGATGCAAATAAGTTGAGCACATTAGGATGATGCTGGCACGACAGAGGTGAAATATGAGTCTGTGCAGATATGAGAGCCTCATTTTACCACAGAAACAAAGCATTTCCTCTTAAACTATGTTTGTCTCCAGTAAATGAAGTTCGTTTCTTCCATAGCTGCCAAACACATAACAGAGATGTCTTTTTTCCAAAACCCTGAAAAGGATGCAGTTTCATAAATCAAATTCAAATTAATTTCAGATTCTGCAGGAATTTCGCCTCGTGTCGATATTTCACAATCCCAGCGCATGAAAATCCTGCAACTACAATCAGAAAGGCAGCTTAATTTCCTGTTACAGGCTGCATTGCAACTTTTTCATTTGTGCTTGTATCTGAGAAAGACACACAGCGTTTAGGTTCCTGTGAATCAGTCTGGACACCAGACCTCTGATGTTCCTGTGAGAGTGAGAGACACCAACTGTGAGCATGCATGTGGGGCGCAAAAGGGCTGAAATCCATCTGGGGTCAACAAGAGCGACTGAGATTTCTACAGCGTTTTAACCTGTTATTAATATTTCATTAAAAATGTGGTATGTACACTTACACCACTTACAAACGTATGTATGCACGATCCCGATCAATTCAAGGGTTGCTTCTCACCTTCAAGGACTTCATTTGACAAAAGAATTAGCAGATGAAGATGAACTTCCTGCTTCCTGTCTTCTCTCTCTGCTTTCTATTTCTCTCCCTTACCCCTACTTTTTGTCAGGAGAGTGGATTAAATCATGTTAATGTCACACTATCGGTCGAAAGTGGTCCTGGTGACCAAAACACACATAAAACAGACATGGATATGTATCCATATGTGTCCACATCTCCTCAGATCTGACATGGTCTGCCCACATTCAGGTCCAGTCTGAAAAGACTAGGCAGCGCCTGTACCACCTGCGACAACTGAGGAAGTTTGGGGTCTCATTGCTTTCTGTATGACTTAATCAGTGTCTCACATTGTTGTTGAAGAGTTTTGGTCCACTCCTCTTGACGGTGCCATTTCAGTTCATTGAGGTTTACCTGCATTTGTTTATGCGCCGCTCTCTTTTGGTC